CCACCACATCCACCACGCCACGCCCCACCACGCCCCGCCACACCCCGCCACGCCCCGCCACACCCCGCTCTGCTAGGTCATGTCCCATAAACCTTTTTCAAATTTCTAAGGCTAATGCGGTATGGTGGCGGAAAGCGTGCAGAATATGTACCATCGCTGAAAATAATGTCTGATTTTGATTTGAGGGAAAACGGAAAACTCAGAGAAACACTCAGAAAACTCTTGTACTACAAAGAATTTTGTGCAACCGTAATACAAAGCCAAATTTTCTTTGCAAAGAAAACTTTTGTGTAATACAAGGAAATTTCTTTTAATACAAGGAAATTTCCTGTATATTACGGTTCCACAGAATTCTTTGCATTATAATTCGTATATATACGAACAAATTCTTTGTAAAAGATTTAGAGTGAACCCTCCTAAATTCAGGAAAACTCCTCAGATCTTGAGAACACTGGTAAAACAAATGTAGAAAGTTGCACACCAAATGATGTAGTATCAAGTGTGCAAAAACTAAACACTTCATGGTGTCAAAATGAACTAGACGTCAATTGGTGTGAAAACAGACGTTTTGTTTACGTTTTGATAACTAGTGTTCAATATTTGCACACTACTAAAGTGTGCAGCTCAGTGGCTCGTTCCAGGAGGATCCGAATGAAGAGCCGAGTGACCACCACCTTGGCCCGAAGGGCCAGCTTGGCGCTGCACTGCCGGCGACGCGATGCGTGCGCGCAGTGGACAATAGCGAGTGCGAACGGAGAGAGAGAACGCACTTGGAAGAAGTGAAAGAGTATGTAGAGCGTGCAGCGTCACTACACTACGTATAAGTATGCTCAAATTTTTATGCGTAATTGTGTACAAAATGTGCATAATTATGCTCACACTGTACATAGTTATGCATAAAATTGTGCATAATATTATGGCTGTATGAAATTCTGCTAGTTTTATGCACAACAAAGTGAATAAGGATTTGGTAAGCACAGCTTCTGAATGAACACTTGCAAGTCCACAACTACAGATATGAATACTTTGCACACTTGGTGCATCAGTGCAAATGCAAAACCTTAAAATCCCAGCCGAAAATTCCGGTTACGGTTACGGCTACGGTTACGGCTACGGTTACGACTACGGTTACGGTTACACTCGTAAATTGGACCCATTTCCGGTTACGGTTACGGTTACGATTAAAGTTCCGGTTACGATTACGTTTACTGTTTCGAATACGATTACGGTTAGTCAGCCCGGTTACGGTGAGAACGTTCCGGTTACGGTGATGACGTATTGGCAGTAACTCAAAGCCCCTATGAGACCAGAGCACATGTCGCCCATGTAAACTTTTGACGCCGAGCACAATGGTGGTGTTTTCGTTGCGGTATCTCTAACAGTTCTCAAGATAGCCAGGTGAAAAATCGACTCTTTCCAAACTCCACACATAGGTTTCACTTGTGTTTCCCTTACGTTACCCTTAACCGTTTCTCCCTGCGAGGCTTAGTTCAAGCGCTACGACGTTTCAAAGTTTGATATTTTCCGGTTACGATCGTAATCGTTTAACATTACTCGTAACCGTAACTGCTGACCGTAACCGGGCTACGGTTACGGTCGTATTCGTAAGCTTACTCGTAACCGTAAGTGTAAACCGTAATCGAACTCCGGTTACGATCGTAATCGTAAATTTTAACCGTAACCGTAGCAAATTACGGCCGTAATCGTAAATTCTGGGCGTAACCGTAACCGGAATTTTCGGCTGGGATGCCCATGTCTCTTCGCAACCCAAAAGCTACAACGCTCAAAAAATCAGGGACATGTATCCTGGTAATAACTTTCAATAGTGAAAAAAAATGATCTAAAAATCCAAAAGGGTGTCTGCAGTTTAAATAACTCATATTTCGAATGACAGAGAGGACAGCCTATGAACTGACCCACAGACAGACACCGAGGTGGACGGGACAGCAGAAAAGGCTGTGTGATTCCTCTGAGCGAATTCCATCAAAATAGTGCAAGTAGGACTGGGGTGAACACATTGCACTTAAGCTGAATGTTTTCGTTGGAGACCTAAGTCAGTGTTCCTAATCCAGCCCGTCAATACCCCAGCAAGGCCTGCTCGGCAC